AGATGAAGAGTTTAAATTAAGAGTAAAATTAAACTACTGGGTAAGGACGAGCATTAGGATAGGACGAGACTATTTCGTCAGTTTCAGTCTTAAAGTTAATATAAAATTTCTGACAGCAAACAATATTTCATTATATTATAGTAACGTTGCATACAATTACTTTATACAATCACGATTGCTTCTTGAAAGTACAAACATGACTTTTAAAGGTTTAATATACAGAATGTCCCAAAATAATCGCTAAATATTTCGTGGGCAGGTAGAGCGAACTAAATTGAGTCGAAAAGTCCTGTACCATTTTACAATTTTCGCAATAGTTAACAAGATATTAATTACTAAAAATTGCCGAAAATTAGTCTTCAATAATTTTTTACTCAAATACTATCAACTTTACAGAAAAACTGTAAGAGAGACAAAAATTATTTATTTTTTTCTCATAAAACTCTAAGAATTTTATCAGAATTTTGTATCAACTTTTTAATTCTACATTTTCTTATTTTTACATGAAAAAGTATGGTATTAAAAAATTCTGAAAAAATTCTGAAAAAATTCTTAGAATTTTATGAGAAGAAAGTAATCAATTTTTGTCTCTTACAATTTTTTTGTAAAGTTGATAGTATTTAAGTAAAAAATTATTGAAGGCCAATTTTCGGCAATTTTTAGTAATTAGTATCTTGTTAACTATTGCGAAAATTGCAAAACGGTAGAGGACTTTTCGACATAGTTTAGTCCGCTCTACCTGCTCATGAAATATTTGGCGATTATTTTGGGACACCCTGTATATTGTTCAGAAACGTAAACATTATCGCTAGAAATGGACGAAAAAGTCTCGCAAAAACTCTCTACTCTAAATCATAAATTTTTACCTCGAGAATCAAATCCGTGTCTCTCTGCGTTCGATGTTATTTAACGCCCCCCGTTTGCACGTGCTTTATCAACGGTAGCGCACGTTTGAGATTGCATGACAGTAGGATGACGCATCTCGTAAAATACGACATCTCAATAGACGTTTATCCATCGACGCTCTGCAAAATCCACGAGATTAGCGCGCCATATCGTTTGTCTCCTCAGAACACGACTCGCCCGCGTAGACGCGAGAACTCTGCCAGAAAATCAGACAATGTACGGCGCGCCATTTGATTTACCTTTAAATCCTCATGAATGCGTTTTATGAATGCGCCTCCGCTGTCCCGTTGCAATCGTCTCGTCGCGCGAATAATGTATCGCGCTCCCAATGGCTTTTAGCAGCGTTGACTGCGCGAATTAATTTTGCAGGAAACGCGTTAAGAATCACTCAAATAAATGCAACGCTCGTTTTTCCACGAGGAACGCGAGGGATGCGACTGAAGATCTGTTTCTTTGTCTCTGCACTAAAACTTTCTATCTCGCTTTCATCAATCTTCAAATATCTCTATCTTATTTTAAATTAGTTGGAAAAAACGGTTTTGCTGAAATATCTAAAAACTTAGCTGGATCTGAAAATAATTTTACTTGGATTATAAAGATGTTTATGTAGAAGAATGCTTTTAAACTGGTTGTTAAATTTTTTAATATTTTACAGTATTGTCACACAGAAGATTTTGCTGAAGAGAGTATCTAAAAATTTAACTACAGTAGACACAGATCTGAAAATAATTTTACTTGGATTATAAAAATAATTATGTAGGACGCTTAAATTGATTGTTAAAACTTTTTGCAGCATTGTCACACAGAAGATTTTATTGAAATATCTTAAAATATCTACAAATTTAGCTACATGCAGATCTGAAAATTATTTTTTAGACATCGAAATGTAGCTTAAACTGGTTGCTTATAGAATGCTAAAATTTTTCGGAGCGTTATCACCAACATTCGAGCGTTCTATAATTCCTTTGATGATCTAATAAAATTATTTTCGATTCTATATCAGCTTTTTCTAGATATTTTAGCAAAACTGTTCTTTCCAACAACTGTTCTTGTACAACAAGTGTATATCAGTTGAGTTATATGAAAACAGATCTTAGGAGTTGACACGCAGGGAAATTCGACTTTATTTTCCGAGTCTCGTTGTTTGAAGCCGAATCTTACGTTAGCTCCGTATTCATGCTCGGCGGAGACGTCACATTGTGTATCTTCCGCCGTGCACTGCTTTATTCACGTTTAGCAGATGACAGCGGAATTTAATGCTACTGTTTATTCTGCGCTGGGTAGGATACAGCGTTTTCGAAATATGTGGCGTCGTTCCGTTGTCACTGGAGGAGAAAGAGCGTTTCCCGCGAAATCTTTCGCGGTCGCCGGCGCGAAAATACACGATACGATATTTTCACGGCGAAAATAAATTCACTGGCGAAATTCGCCGTCCGAATTTTCTGAATCTTAACGGGAGGGATTTCTGGAGAAGTTCCAAAACTTTAAAAATGACGACCCTGAGAGGAACGGAGCCGTGACTCACAGCGTCGTTGATGATCGCGAACTCGGCGACAACAACCGCGAGCTGAATGAGACGATGATCGAAATATCGTTCGTGATTTCCGAAAGCGATGGATAGAAAATGTGTTGACTGTGAAAATTTATTACACTGCCGAAAATAATTTACAATTTCTATGCACATGCAGCGCTGTTTATGTCGATAATTTCATCGCCCAACGCCAGTAAACAATATTCTGAGGTGCTTTTCATAAGATTAAGATTACGTTAGCAGCCATTTCCGATGATGGACCGAAGGCCGACCGATCTTTTATTTTTGCGTGGTATTGTTCCCGACAGCTGCTCGCTGTAAAAATTGCACGCGAGAAGTCGTAAACTCGCGACACTTCGTTCCAATGCATCCTCAGGTCGGAGAAACTGATGTGAGAATGTGACGGAGAAGAGTGCCAACAAATCGTTCGATGGACTTGAGTCGTCACGCTGTCGCGAAATACGAGACACTCCGTCGTGATTCACCTTTCGAATGGATAAGACAACATGATTATCCCGTGACGCAACATTAATTTCCTACAATCCTTCTTATTTTGAAACTTCTTGCGTTTCTTCTTGAATCAGAGTTTGAAGCAAAAAATTTAATTGCGCTCATCCGGTTCTGACGTTCGCTTTATAAATCGAAATGTAATTCGCTTATTTTAAGTTTTATTATTAAAAAGTGTTTAAACTATAACTGCGTGGAACACGCGATAATGATACTTAATGATTCTAAAATTCATTTTGAGAGTCGAAATGAAAGTGGAGTATAATTTATGAATGTATCGCGATTTATAAAATAGAATGATTGCAATTATGATATAACAGAATGTAATGACGCGATAAATAACTTCGTTACAGCTGGAGCAAACTCGATCATTGTTTATTTCTTTCAAGTGGATAGCGCAATGATATATAAACGTGTAACGTTTTTTTAGTCTGGCCGATACTTTAATAGAGTTGCCACAAAACTGGAAATCAGAGAAATCAGCGAAATGTCAGGAAAAAGTCAGGGAATTTTGCAGAATTTTCTGAAAAATTAAAATTCTTGGCTTTAAAAAATTTTAATATGCGTACATCACACCTACGCGGTTCTCGAATAAACCAACTTAACAGTTGTAGGTAGTAGCAACATTATAATAGTCATTTACAATGTAAAAAATTCATTGTTCGTACTACATTGTAATGTATTAGAAAACTACGTATTAGAAACTATTTAAGATATAAGTATTTCATTAAGGACCAATGAAAAAATTTACAATAGAAAATTTTATGTTAATCAATTATTTAATATAAATATAAATTATTTAATAAAAAACATTTTAATAATAATTTGGCGGAAGACGCGCTCCCAGTATATTTCTGGTATAGGAACGCCCCTGAGTCAGTGCGTCACGTGACCGCCCGGCGGCTCGGCCCGAAATGTGCAAATCCTTGCGACCACTGATTTACATTGCTATGTTAAATTCTAAATCAGCACGAAACTAAAAAATTTCAAAATATTAAGCATTAGGGAAAATAATTAAGTTTTGTCTGAAAATCAGTTATGGAATTTTAGGATGAGGAATTTGTGGCAACCCTGTTTAATTTACTTTTTAAAAAATTGTTTTTTTTTTCTCTTTTTAATTTCAAGGCACATTCAGCTACATTCATTCGGAAAGTGACCTTTAAAAGTCAGATTTTATTGGGTTGTCGGAAGTCATGACGTATTTTTGTCACATTTTTAGTTCAAATTTATATATATCACACACACACACACACACACATTACATTATATACATTCAATTATACCATTCGATAGAGCAAAGTTTCAGCTTTAAGAATCTGTTTTAATAATTACGTCACGATGTTTTTTAACGGAGCTATGAGCAATTAAAGTCAAAATACTTCTTTTATTTTTAATCCACGATAACTCAGTAAGAAAAAATCGTAGAAATATTTTTAAAAAACGATTTTGCAGGGAAAGCTGCAAGCTTTTACGATAGATAGTCAAAATTGTTCTCAAATTTTTTTAGGCATGTTACAGACTTACAAAGTGAGAAGAAAATTTTTCATTTTTTTCAGCTGGTAGTCTTCTGTATGTAAAAATTACCAAATTCATAATAAACTCAAAAAATATAGTAAGCTTTTGAAAGTAGAGACTTCAAAGTTTAAAACGCTTTTTTAAAATTTAAATTTCGTTCATTTTTAATGAAGATATTGTGTATACAATTTTGAGCTGAAAAATGCGTCGTGACTTTTCCGACAACCTAATATTTAAAAATAATACAGTCGTGTAAAACTGCGACAAGTTTTCTGAACAATTAAAACTCTCGGCTTTAAAGAAGTTTAATATACGTACATCACACCTATGCGAGTCTGAAATAAATCAATTTAACAGTTAAATGCAAGTAGTGTCAGCAACATTAATAGTAATTTACATTGCTATGTTAAATTTCAAATCAGGACGAAATTAAAAATTTCAAAATATTATTGAAAGCATCAGGGAAAATCATTAAATTTTAAACTGCAGCGTGTAATGCTGCGTTATGTTATCATTATCTAAAGCAAATTTGTTTTTTCAGCTGCGAGGGATGCAAGGGATTCTTCAAGAGGACTGTACGTAAGGATCTGTCGTATGCCTGCCGCGAGGAGAAATCCTGTATTATCGATAAACGACAGAGAAATCGCTGCCAGTACTGCCGGTACCAGAAGTGCCTGGCCATGGGGATGAAGAGGGAAGCAGTACAAGAAGAACGTCAACGCACCAAGGAGCGGGATCAGAGCGAGGTGGAAAGCACGAGCAGTTTGCACGCGGATATGCCGATCGAGCGCATCCTTGAGGCGGAGAAATGGATCGAGTGTAAGATAGAGCAGGGAAATTACGAGGTAAATATATACACATCCGTGATGAAGGCGTATCAATGTTTATCGTATATTGATGTATCTCCTTCTGACGGAGAGAAATAAAGCGGAAATTTACATTGTTAAAAATTTCATGAAATTTAATATAATTTTAAGTTACACAATTTGAACTTAATTTCATGACATTACATTAAATTTAATGTATTTATAACTGAAAAGTATATTTTGTGTACATGTACATGAAATTTAATGTATTTTTCATCAAAATTTATGAAATTTAATGTACACGTGCATTACATTTAAGTAACTACTGTAACTTAATTTTCAGTTAAATCATTCATTACTTTTAATTTCATTCATAACCACGAGCTTCATTTACATGTAAAGAAAGCATTTCTAACAGTGTAGATATGTAGTAATAACGAAATGATTGTTTAAAGATGTGTGTAACTATGTAAGTCGCAATTAGAATATCGTAGAGAATATATTATTCATACAAATAATTTTGTACAAATTTTAAATTTATTACGTATATATTAGTTTATTGTTTGCTATATGAATTTCAATTGATCTCCTTCACTCACAATTTTTAATTTTCTGCGATTATATAGTTGTAACATCAAGATATACACGGAATAAGAATAGAAATTGAACTGGACTTTAACTACAAATTAATCGCTCTCTCTTATGGAGTTACACATTCTAATTATGGATTTATTAGATTATAATATAGTCAGCGTGAATTTCTGTTATAAAAGTGATGTCTCTATAAAAGTGTAACTCGGACGTAATTTTATCGAGATTTTATGTAGGTACACTATCGCTCAAAAGTATTTGCCTACTCTATTTTCCTTAATTAAATAAAAGAAAGTAAATTTTAATCTGCTTTTTTAATTTATTAAATGTTAGAAGTTATGTAATAATAATAATGCTTGATAATTCAAAATTTTCATTTTAAATACGCTCTCTTACTTCAAAAAAGTGATACAACTAAAAAAATTAAATCTCCCAGAAAAAGGAACAAATATTTTTCAACTTGACTGAAAATTATTGACTAATCAAATAATATAGGCAAAAGGAATTATTCTTAATTATAATTAATTATCATTTTTTGTTTTACAATCCTTAAAAATCATTATTTTTGAGTTGTGATAATTTTTATAATTTTTATGAAATTAATTTACTTTTGATGGGGTAATATTTATCTAACTCATTCAGAGTAATAATTCATGTTTTTCAAGTTACACTTTTGAAATAATAGAGCGACATGTAAAGAATATATTGTAGAATTAGAATGAAATTTTAGGCGTAAAGAGATATGTGCAAAAATCGGATTGGGCAAATATTTTTGGTAACGTATCTGTCATTCTACGAAATTTTGACGTCGTAATCATCATTAGTGATTCTTCACGGCGCTCTGTTTTTTTTTGTCAAATCCTTGGCTAATCTGGAATCTTGTAATGCGCAGACCGCAGTGCACCTTTGCAACGCCACGAAACAGCAGCTCTATCAGCTAGTGGCATGGGCGAAGCACATCCCGCATTTTACGTCGTTACCAGTAGCGGATCAGGTACACCTGCTCAACGCTGGCTGGAACGAGCTGCTAATAGCCGCCTTCTCCCACCGTTCTATTGATACGAAGGATAGTATCATTCTGACAACAGGCGCCGCGGTACATCGACATTCGGCGCAACAGGCGGGTGTGGTCACAATTTTCGATCGAGTAATCTCGGAGTTGGTGTCGAAGATGCGCGAAATGAAAGTAGACAAAACCGAACTCGGATGTCTTAGGTGAGGAACTGGCGAGACTAGTATTTTTCTCTCTCTCTCTCTCTCTCTCTCTCTCTCTCTCTCTCTCTCTCAATTTTACTGTACGATCATTTAGATCAATATGATTAAAAAATAAAAAATAAATGTTCACAAAAAATATCTTACATTAATAGACCAAGTCATCAAATATCAAAAAAGTTTTTAAATAAATTGTATTAGTTGAGAAGATGAATTACATTTTGAGTCAAATAAAGTCGAATAGACCAACAGGGCTAATGAATCTTTAGTGAGCCTGACAATTGATTAGATGTGAAACGAAAACGAATATCTATTGATGTCTCTCTGCCATCACACATTTTTCTTTTCTTAATTCTCCTTCATTTTGTTTCGTTTTTCTTAATGCATGTTAAACCTATTAAACGAATGACTTTTGATTTAATATTGATATCGTTTTTCGATATGCAGATCCATTATCCTCTTCAATCCTGACGTACGAGGCATCAAGTCCATCCAAGAAGTCAGTTTATTGCGTGAGAAGATTTACGCCGCTCTGGAAGAGTACACCCGCGTGAACTGTCCGGACGACCCCGGCAGATTCGCCAAGCTGCTGCTTCGCCTACCATCCATCCGTTCGATCGGTCTCAAATCGGCCGAGCACCAGTTCTTTTATAAGTTAATCGGCGAAGTGTGTGTCGAAAACTTCTTTGCGGAAATGTTGGAATCACCGTCGGATCTTTAGGAGCAGAAGGTGTGCCGCGTTTTGGGGCACACCGATTTGTAAAAAAGTAAAGTAAAGGACATAAGAGGACGTCGAAGAAGAAGAAGACGATGACGACGAAAGAGGATAGGACCCGCATTCGAGTCGAGTTTCGCATTCGAGATGCAACGATTTCTGTACTGCGCCGCCTTTTCCCGCGTTGCAGTATAGACTATCCGTGTGTCGAGCGAGGTGGAATTTACTTACTTCTCTTTATCGCCATCCCTGTCTCCTCCCCCCTTCTTCCCAGTTTTTCCCCTCGCCCTGTTATTTATGTTTTTGTTAGAGCTTAGCGACTCTTATGTCCAGCGTAAGGAGGCGGTCTTACTGGCCGACGACGCAACGCACGTACTGAAAGATAGCGATGTAAGTGCGTGTATATGCGTCTGTGCGTTTTGTATGGCTTGTATACACGTCAACATCTGAGCACAATTTGAACGTGGTAGATAACTACGATCTGCATAATACAAACTTCGATGTTGTCGATCGGTAATTAGTTAATTTCTCAAACCGGTTGAATTTGTTGCGACGATCAGATAGAGAGAATTCTCTATCTCTATTATAAAATATTGTTAATCACAATCGCGCTGCCTCTTTAGCCTGCGACATGTGTCGTGCCATCATCCGAGCGAAGATCGTGTCTCACACGATGTTTCGTGCCGATCGATCCTTGTTTCGGACAGACGTCGCGTCTTCGTCGGACCGCACCTTTCACAGTCTCACAGAAGTTCCTAGAATTATTAAGTTTCTTTTTTTTATTTTTGCACTTTGTTACTTTTCGGTCTCTCTTTTTTTTATCTTTGTCGTCTCTCTTTCTCGACAACGTCACCGATTGCCTCGGCGATCTCACTTTTGACGGCGGACGCTTGACGAAGACGCGATTTTGTCTGTGCTCGCGAGTTCTCGGACACCTTTACATTCCAACTCTGCCTCGATTCGGATCGTTACTTTAAAGAGCCACTATTTGCATATAGATATGTATACATACATACTTGCATCAATGCGTATTCCTTACGCTCAGTGCGCAAGTTTAACGATAATTTATTGTTTTGTATTTTAGAGTATAGGAAAGAAACGAACTTACTAATTCAATATTAATTAAATTAAATATACGCATGATAAGCCCCCTTTTTTATGCAGCATGTGTCCATAATGAAGTATCAGAAGTGCAACAAATGTGACGTCGGAGCGTGCAAATGAAGTATTTACTTTCAAGGTGTTAGGGTTTCCGTTTATTTCTATTTCTTTTTGGTAAAACGCACGCTCAGATATATACTCGGATCTTCTTCGTTAATCTTTAACATTTAGATTTAATGTTATGACAAACTCTTACTACGCGTATACTTTGCAGTACTGGAATGCTGTCTTCTGTGTCTGGTACAAATTTGACATGGCAGCAAATAGAGTAGAGAGAGTATATAAAAATTTTTTTGTCATAGTTTTTACGACAGTGAGATTTGTTTTCCCCCGGAGAATGTTTAATGCACGAAAGCAGATAAAAAAAAGATACAGGAGCTCTCGAATCTTTGAAAAAAAAAGAGATATTTGCGAGATGTATAATTATACTATAAAAATCTAGCATACGATAAGAATTAACTGATCGTGGACACAGGATTAAGATAGAACCCTACTCTCGTTGTTAGTAATTTACAGAATTGTGTATCACATGATGTGAGCTGATGGATCCGACGAATTTGTAAGTTACATAAAGCGGAGCATCTGCAAATGTTTGCTCAGCGGCTTATTTTCTAAATTTAAATGTTATTAGATATATAAAGATGTGTACAAAACGCGTATATATACATATATATATATTTTTCTCGAGACTGTTAATTATTATTCTATCTGTTAACTATTTCTACTTGTGGAGAAATTGGATTAACTACATAATTTATGTGATAGTCAAATTTTAATAGTTTTATGTCAACATCATTGAGTTGACTCGGTTCTTCGTTTGGAAAAAATTTTTAGATGTATAATATTGTATAATAATGATTTGTTCATTTAATAGAGGTACGTAAACGTTTATGATATTAGATTTATACGTATCCATATTTTTAACGAATTTATGAAGTTTGATAATTATGATTATTAATGACACGATGCAATTATGTTGTAAAATGAAAGCGTTTAGATGTATGTAAAATTATTTTTTTATTTTAAATAAAATTATTATGAAATAACATTTCATCATTTTGCGAATGTTGTACAAAACATTTGATACTTTTCGGACTCTTTCAGCTCTAATCATTGATACGATTTACTCTACTACTCTAGAAATAGTAAGGGAATGATCATACTTACTTCAATAATATAAATTATGATAATATTATTGTATATTATTAAACATATTTCTATTTTTGCGTGAATGCCTACGATTGTTAGTTGTTGGTTATTGTTATCTACTTGATGAGAGTTTTTAATGTTATGCGTACCGTGGGAAACAAACACAATATTAAATTCATAATTTTTTTTATAACATGCTGGAGTTACTATTCATTTCAGATGCCTATTTTAGCATTTTTGATTATTCAGGGAAGACGAGTTATATTTAATGACGCATTAATGCTGATGTGCAAGGAGCGATATCGAGTATGTAAATCGATTTTTTTAATTTCTTATATATACGAATTCAAGTCATTCTTGATTTTAAGTAGGGGCGCAAATTAAAGAGCAAGATTCTATTACTAAACTTATCGTTTGATTGTACAATTGTTATTTCAATACTTTTATTGACGAAGCACCTGACCAAAATTACCTCTGAACAATCGCGCGACTAGCGATCACCTCTTCAAATTCCTCACAAAATATAAAAACGATGCTGTAAGTGACCATTAAGATTGGAGGGCGCGAATGAAGCTACCTGTGAATGAAGTTTCATATAAATATATAAATGTTATAAAAAACGGAAATATATCTATACATATATATAAATAATATATGAATATATATAAACCGAATTCTTTCACAAATACAAATGCAACAACCTCAGTAGTGATCAGGAAAAAGAAAAAAAAGCGTTAACAAAGATAAATAACAGATTAAATGAGCTCTATGTCCTGCGATCAGATACATTATATAAGGTAAGAGGATTTTACAAGAGTGTGGTCTTTGGAATGCCGTGATGTTTTACTAAAGCATAATTAACACACTGAGCTTCTTTCGCGAAGCACCGTATTGGGAAAAAAAAAATGCTGGATCGTGTGTGTGTGTACCGAGTATACTTTAATATAAAACTTAAACTGCTTTTGCCATACTTCTTTGAAGTATCATTGAAATGGTACGATGCTCAAATCGTGTGTAGTAACAGTCTTATCTAGTAACAGTGTCCTAGAGTGGAAGAATTGGGTGCGCTGTGTAATCTTTCTCTGTACAGTAGAACAGCAATGGATATCACATTTTATTTTCGTATCTATTGTATTTTCTTTGCTTTTACGTCTTGTACTTATGCAAATCCTGGATATACATTTTTGGTTGCATGCTGTCCCTTTTTCTTTCTCTCTTTCTCTCTATCCTTTCAATAATTTCAACATTTGATTAACATATACTTCAACTTATAAAATCCTAACTTCTTCTGTCACTCTAGTATTTAAAGAGCAAACGACAAGGCATCTTTTCATAACATACCGAGACCCCTTTCTCTACGCACCCATTCTACATAGATCAGTACAAATAAGTTTAATAATAATAATAATAGTAATAAATAACAATAATAATGATAATAGTAATAATGGTACCGATAATGTTAATAATATACCGTTTACTCTTATCAAGCGCGTAAGGTATACTCAACTTAACAAGAAAAATAGTAGCAGGTGTCCTACTAAAAATACCGTACCTTTAACGAGCTAAACTGTAAGCCAGTATATTACAATCTATGTATAAACGTCGTACAATTTACGTATGGGCAATCTCTAATTAAGAAAGTTAATAAGTTAACTCTTGTATGACTGCCATTATGATCAAATATTATTTCGAATAATTATCATAAAAATGCGATATACTCCGCGGAGAATGGGTCGTTTTTTTAATTATTTCTTCTGGCCCGCGCAGAAGAGAGAGAGAGAGAGAATGCACATTTATATACGTGCGAACAATGCACGCAAACGTTTGTTAATAATTTCGAAATTAGACTATTCTCTCGCGCGAGGACGACAAGGGATATTTAAATATCGTAGACGACACTAGAAAAACGCTCTGATTGCAAAGCCGATTGGATACTTCGTGAATTGTAATTGTATTGTCGATAAATGTTGAATGTAACATTCCACTTTACGGATAATCGTTAATCGGCGCGCATACGAATGCCTATAAAACATCGCTTTTCCTTTCTTTTTTTTTCATACACAAGTCTCCGATATGATTCGCTACCGTTTCGTCGAATTTTTAAAATACCGCGACTTTTGATGTCTCCCTTGCTTGCGTTACGGAGGGATGAGGCGTATTGTACGATACTCTGTCGCAAATTGATATTAATTTATTTCACTGGCTTTAATAACCAACGACACTATATATGGTTGTGCTCCGTAGATAGCAAAGCAATATAATTAATTATATATATGTGCACATGAATATATACACATTTATAATATATATCTTACATATATATTAATATACTATGAATATTTATAATATACATATTATATATTTATTATATATATATTATATATACATATATATTTGTTATGTGCATATATGTATGTATGTACATCTCCTTCAAGAGTCCAATTCTATCTTTTTTAAGATGTAAGTTACAGTTTTGTTAAGTTAACGAGACGTTTCTTGATTTGCGCATCCATTGTAGATTACGAAAAAAATCTGTCTACATACTTATACTATATTTACTACTAAACTATTAAGAAATACGCTTTTGTAAATGTAAAACGTACACCTTTTTTCAAATATAACGGTACGGCAATGTGCAAAGTATCACGTACGGAGGCGTCGAGTTCTCAGGTGAGGAGAGCGAATGTTTTAGGAAGAATAAGAGTAATATATTCACACACAGAAAGAGCGAGAGATGAGGGTATATAAAATAAAATATGTAGAAATGTAAGAGAGAGATCCCGATAGAAGAGGTAAGCGAGCGAGAGAGAGAGAGAGAGAGAGAGAGAGAGAGAGAGAAAGAGAGAGAGACTGAGAGTAAGAAAGGATGAGAAATTGTTGAGGGCAAGCATGTGCAAAACAAGGGGAGTGATGCTATGAGTGTACTTGTACAACAGTATGGCTAGTAACAATCCCTGAGTAAAGAAATATAATGTACGGTTTCGCGCCAAGAGATAGATCGTCTATTCTGACTTATCTAAATATAATATTTTTATGAACTGAAAAAGACTCAGATTTTTATACCATTTACAGACCCGCCCTCTAGATCTTTACTCACATTCTATGCTTATGACGAAGATAAATGAGTCATGATCCATTGGATTTTCCTTTTTGCAATGTATTTATTAACTATTATTAGAGGCAGAGAGGTTTCGTGCATCATACTTCCGCTTATGAAGCACTCAAAAGGTCATATCTTTCACATAGTCATTCGATTTATAATGGACAAATGTACAATATGATTGCTTATATATACACATGTATGTGTGTATGTAAAGTGCAATGTGACACACACATATGTATATATATATATATATATATGTGTGTGTGTGTATGTATATGGCATTTTACAATTTAAGGAAAAGGAGCTGAAATGTAATAATTAAAATATTTCTTGAAGCATGCGATAAATTTCCGTATTTCATAAAATGTATATATAGATATATATAAATTCTTGGACGCTTTTAAATTATGTGATATAGCTTACGTAAGTTACATATATTACATTTATTACCTATAGGGAGCATTAAGGAACGAAGGAGGCTACAAATAAATACAAATGTAGAAAGTAAATGAAATAAAAATTATGGAAAATTTTTTTTATTTATGATGGACATTAAGTCGAATATAGTTCAGAAATTGTTGTTCATTGACAATTAATTACGGATATTAACATAATTGTAAACACTTTACGTCACTGATGTGAGTCCATCACTGCAAGTTCTCTTTCCCCATCTTCCATTTTGTTTATACATAAATAAAATTGTCTAATATAAAAAAGGACAAAAACAAATACATTGTTACATACATCTTTCGCAACTAATCGCTTGCACATTGTCATCAAGAATTCTGTTGCCACTTTCCCTCATGTACAGAGTATGTACAATTATTTCATCAAGAAATAGTCGTTAATGGAGATTTTATTTAATGTAAGTTGAAAATTAAGATTGGAAGTTGAACTGTTTGTTTCATATTTTTAACTAAATTTCACAGCTTTCCAGCATGTGTGCAGTCTTGATTTCCAGTTTATCTGAAAAAAAAAAAAAAAAACAAACATAAAAATAAAGATTAGTCATTCATGATAAACATATAATTTTAATCAAAATGATGCGACGATTGTAGCATAAAGAGTCGCGTGGCTGCTTTCAGTGCCAAAGATTCGGGTTCAAACCCAGAACACACATATCAAATTTAATTTGATCATTTTTCGAAAAGCAATAACCACCGAGGATATCTTTGTCAATACCTTCTAATAATAAGCAGATAGAAAAACTCGGCACAATGGCGTTAAAAACTAACTCCTATCTATCAGTGGACATATGCAAAAGAGATCTACGTCTCTGACAAGAGACAATGGACTTTGAGTCAAAATAAGACAACGGATTTTAAATTGAAATAAAATTTTGCATTGTAAAGATGTCTGGTTAATAGTAAACGCTACGCCTAGGAAGTCGTCATAGCGAGAATCTTATTTCCAATTTGATCTAACATGTTCGTGCAGTGACAAACACAAATAAAACGTGCTGGTCACGAATATTTACATGTATATCTTATTTATAGGATAAATAAATTCTTAATATTTTATTCTAATAATTATTATTAATGTTAATAATATTAATAATTTATTAATATCACTAACCACATACAACTATTACTAATAATAATAAGAATATAACTCACAAAATTTGTCCAGAATTTATTCAGTATCTAAAGATTACTTAAAACTTTTCTTCTTCAAGACCGTGTTTAAAGAACATGAGTACAGGCACAGAATTGCCATCGATCTCGCGGTATTCCATGAGACCCACAATTCCATCGATGTCCATTGAAATACCAGTGAAAAACTGTAATTCTTTGAACCGGCCTAAGATGTCCTTCATGACTTTGTTCATATTTGTCTTAAACACATCTACTTGATCAGGTGCCTTTTCTTCTAGCTTTGCTACTAATCTATAAAAAGAATTTAACAAATATATTTATGTACATAGAATACATTATGTATGAATTTACATTTTTATTTACATAAATAGATAAAAAATTTGTACAAATATAACTCGTATTAATTCGTCAACTTTAAAAGCTTTTTAATTATTTCTTAATCCTTACGATATATTTACATAAATAATATGATGCAAGATAGATATATTTTCAATTGTATATATCACAGTAGAATTTTTCACTGTTTTGTCATTACAGCCAAATAAATTGAAATCTATAAATCTATATACAGATACTTACTTCTTCATGTAATCTTTGAGGTACAATGTATAAGACTTTTTATCTCCAAAGGCAAATGTTTCCTGAAGGCGATGGTTCAATACGACGTCTACGCCAGACTCTACCGCTTCGTCTGTACCTTCATCAGCCACCTCCGCAGATGGATTGAAACCAGCGATTTCAACATCACCCGCCTTACGAGTAATTAACTACAAAAATTAATTTAAAAAATGTTATACCATTACTCCTTGCATTTCATAAATATTATATATACAGATATATATATATATATATAGATGTATATACCCTCCCATATACTTCATATAATACATCGTCTATCAGCTTAATTTTGTAGGTATCAGAGAACATCTCGTCTCCTAAAATATAAATAAAATTTTGTAATCCTAGACTTAAACATCTTATTTCGGACGGAGTCTAGATAATTTTATGATAACTAAACGAGTACATTGCACATGCAATCCTACGAATTTTCGAGAACATATGGAGAGGTTAGGAATTTAATAGTCATTTTATAGGGAAACTGAAATACAATATAATAATCGTGCTAATTTGTCGTGCAACATCGATGCCTATGAGTGTAATTTCGCGTAGAGAAAGGCTGCAAAAATATTTTTCAATATATTTAAATATCGCTGTGAAATGCTATTATCATTTGGGCACTTTATTGTATCTCGGTAACGAAAATGAAAAATACTTGGCTTGTATGATCGCGGATGTCGTTTTTTATTTACTCACCGGTGAAAATATCTTTATAAATCTTCATAGTGGAAGATGGAGAAAGATTCAACTGCAGCTAAAAACTAAACAAGACACGGTCACCCAAAAGAGCGCACCGGAAAAGAAGGAAACTTTGGCGTCCTCGGTGAATGGTGATGATCTGACGGGGGTCGAAGTCGAATGAGTTTTGATTCATGCAGTACCGTTTCGCCATCTGGTGAGAATCCAATGGTCTGTTTTCTGTTCCTGCACTAGACTGTTCTAGAACTCTCTTTCTCGCTTTAAACGGGTGGCACCCAGTTGGACACGGCTCATTTGGACACGAGCCACTCACAGCGCTTGAGACTACAAAGCTCCTAGGCCCCTGGTCGCTGTGATTGGTGGTGTTCAATCGAGCCGTGATCAATCGGGATCACCCCAGGCCACATATGTCGCAGTCACATGTGCAGCTACATGTAATTAGAGTCCCTATGATGAGAGTCAAGATATAAAGGCCCGTCTACAATACACAGAGTAAGAAGAAAGAGTAAGAAATTGACCAATCACAGTCGATTATTCTTCTCACATTCGACTGTGATTGATCAATTTCTTACTCTTTCTTCTTACTCCGTGTATTGTAGACGGGCCTTAAGACCGGAAGGATGCCATTGCTGGGTGCCGGCCGGAAACAGCACAAATAACGCGTGGCACAAATAGACGCGTTTGCGCCTGTTTGTACTACTCTTAGAACATATATAAATGGAACGGGCATTGCCTATACTTCCCATGGCTCACGCTAATGCAAACGTCTGTGCGAGAGAGAAAGGTAGTAAGGGATAACCCCGGATCTACAATAGGTGTTTTAAGTCTTAAGCCATAAGAAATTGACCAATTACAGTCGAATCCGAGAAGAATAAGCGACCGTGATTCGTCCATTTTTTATGGCTTAAGGCTTAAAACCCTATTGTAGATCCGGACTTACACATCTGTGTAAAGTTGGAAACACAATAGACACAGGCAATAGGCACAGGGAACAGGGAATAACGAGCCGTCCAATCAGAACTCTGGGATATAATATCGAACTTATACCCCAAAGCTCTGATTGGACGGCTTGTTATTCCCTGTTGCCTGTGCCTATTGTGTTTCCAGCTTAATGTACGAATTCGTAAAAACACTAAACTGCACAATTCACACAGATGACGGTGCTGCGCATGCGCATTGCGAACATTTATCCCTCACTACCTTTCTCTCTGGCACAGATGTGGCTTCACGTTCAGCGCCCTATGCCCCTTCTATTTATATATGTTCTAAGGTACTATTACACCATGAAACAGTTGCTCACACCAATTCACAGATTCACTAACACATCGAAAGCGCCTAGAAATGGCGGCGACCAATCACGAGGGCGTCGCCCCTCATGTCTTAACTCTCATTATAGGGACTCTGCATGTAATAAGCTGCGGTCACAATATGGCTGCTTCTTAGGAGGAGATACCCAATCAGAATACATATCAGACTACCAATCAGAAACTCGGACATCAATGTCGCTTCTCTCTCTATATATAGGATTCTAGTTTTTATTTTAAGATTATCTTAGGCCGGAATCAGACTATGCATTGAAGATTGAGATTGAAGATTAAGGGCGACTGATTAACTCAATCGGCAGAATTACTATTATAGATAGAAGATCTTTATTATTTTTATCACAATTAGGGCTATTTCCTCTCCGAGGAAAATTTTACTCGAAATATATGATACACGTAATGTGTATACTATAGAGTATAGTATATAGAGTAAAATCTTTTGTTCTGATTGGTCAAACTTCAATCTTCAATCTCATTCTTCAATGCGTAGACTGATTCCGACCTTAGTCCGGATCTACAATAGAGTTTTAAGCCTTAAGCCATAAGGAATGAACGAATCACAATCAATTATTCTCCTCGTATTCGAATGTAGTTGGTCAATTTCTTGCGGCTTAAAGCTTAAAACACCTATTGTAGATCCGGTCTAACGGAACTGCCGACATCTAAAAGAAAAAATAAGCTAAGCTAATATCCAGTTCGGAATACCCACAGTCGAATGCCTATATTAATACACATAAGTCAAAATAAATATATAAAATTTTTCTTCCTCGCTTTCTCCTTTCTTGCTCTCTCCTTCTCCCTTTCTCTCTCTCCCTCCCCCCCCACCTCCCTCCCTCTTTTCTCTCTCTTTCACGTTCTCACTCTTTCGCTCTCCCATACATAAGTATATACACATCCTGTATGTACAGAGAAAAATATATTGAGAAATCTGAAATCCGAATAATGAACGGTTTTATTACGAAACTTTGATGGTTCGGATATCTAAAAACAGTTTAAAACAGATTCGGATCCGAAAGATGCGCTTCAAACGGATATTTGATCTCAGATTTATTTCTATCTTCGATATCCGGATACCCGGATAAACGGATAATAGTCGACTCTAATATAAATGAAATGAGTGCTGGATGAGAGGATAAATAAAAGAATTGTAAATTATTGCTTGATGATGATATAGTTTGCAGATTTATTGATTGGATTTTTGCTATTTGGTTCGTCCCGATTTTCACAGAAAAGAAAATGTCTTAATTTCATTCATTTTATTTATTAATGTAGGTTTTTCTTTCTATATAATTATCTGGATGATATTCAACTTTCACCAGCAATATTTTAAGAAAAGACTAAAATGATATTATCTGACTTATTTTATAACGAATAATAATTATACTAAAAAAATAAGGAACGTCATAAAAATATTTATACGAAAGAATGCTGATCCATATAATTATTAACAATGATTAATTCGTTGCATACAGATACGAAGTAAAGTCTAAAACAGATATACGTAATAAAGAATATTACAGAAAAATATTTATATATATATATATATATATATATATATATAGAGTTATTTAACTAAATAGATAGTTTCTACACTGCATCTATATCTGCATATATGAAATATTCGAAAAGAAAAAAGTATGCAGCAAAAATTTTTTTCTTTTTTTAATTACGAATAATCGATATCTACAAAAAACGCATTTTACAAACATGGATATTATGTGGGTGAAAGCATTAAATTTATAACAATAATTTTAAAATTTTCTACGTACAAATAAAAATATATAAATAAAAATATAATCTGGATGGACGTTTATAGCCTTTATTTACAAGATGAAATACGATCATCCATAAATTATTAATCTTTATTTTGACCAGTTAATTAAATAACAAATTATTTTTCTGAAATATTAAAGTAAATGTATCAAAATGTTCATTCTTTTAACTATATATCTAACACAAACACTACATTCATGCCATACATTATCAAAGTTATTGAAGAGAGATTACAATTAGTTTTGGTGTAGTAAGTCTTCTAAATGGAACAATATATGTATCCGACGAAGTGCCTTTCAAGAAAAATTTATTTGCGTACGTTGTATAATCTTGTAAGCATAATTTATGTTCCAGCGTACCGGTATTTTCATGTGACAATAAATTTATAACACCTGGAGGTATTCCACACGTCGAAAACATGTCATAATATGATGACGGATTACAGAAGTTTGCATCAAACATTACAATGACCGAGTTTCCAGCAATTAAAGTTTGCATTAATCGAAAAAACAAAATGTTTTCATTTTCCTCTCTAAGTATGATAACACCTAATGGCCTACGAGTCCACAATACTTCTTTTGTTTCATTTTCAATGTATCCTTGTATACCTTCGCAGAGATATGGGAATTTTATCCATCTATCTACTATAGCTGCTATTACATAGCAACATTTTATATCAATGCTACAATTTCCTACTCAATAGTACAATTATTATGTATAGATACATAAATGTGTTATATATTACACTTGAAATTATATATATATATATATATATATGATATTGTATAGATATATATAAAAACTGTTTTTGATAATTCCATTTACCCAGCAAGTTCTAATGTGGACATGAATCTAGATAATATTTGTATTCTAGCCTTAATAGACATATTACTCCAAGTTTTGAATCCTTTCCTAGCAGATAGATAGCATTTCTTTATATCGATGCTGTAATAACAATATATACATTAATTGATTAAAAGTTTGATATATGTTTTCTCAATTTTTTAAAATTTAAGTAAAGATTATAATATGTAATCTAATAAAATTTAAGAAAATGTGTGGATTCTTATTACTGTGTTGCATTTGCCCATAGACTGTTATTGTTATGTTTCCAATACATGCCCTTCATGGGTTTTTGCCACGCACCATCATAAAAAAGATCGCCAACAAAAATATCGTTTATTTTTACGACAGATGATAAATGTACTACATTCATACTGAATTCTTGATTTTGAGATACATTTTCGCAAAGAATATTCAACATCATATATTCATCACTTATTAACAAACCCATAGATACGTGTTTATAAATCCAAAGTATTTTACTACCATGGAAATCCATATATGTATTTATAAATACTAGGTGACTCTGAATAATTATGAAATAGAAAGAATTTTAATGAAATTCAAAATAATTCTCGGCAACATACTGTCTTTAAATAATTTAAATAATATAAATAAAATATAAATAATATAAATAATATAAATAATATAAATAATATAAATAATTTAAATAATATACATTTATAGATAATGCTAAATTCTTCGCAGCTACAATATCTTCCGACCATATGGATACTACATTTACTTTTTCGTCACATGGAATAAATTGAATATCATTCACTGATTGAAATGTATCAATAGTTATGGATAATTCAGAACGATAATGCTTCATGAGCCATACAAATTTCTTATTCACTCCTTTTTGCACCCATATTTTGTGTAAAGGAAAGTGGTCTGTTATTATTAAACAATTAATAACTGCATACAAGTCCGAATCTTCTAAGATTATCATTTCATTCCTTGTATAAGATTTGTCTGTATAAATACATTATATATAAATAATTTTAATTATAAGACAAAAACATATTTTTATAAATAATACACATTAAATAACACACAATGGGCATTTTTCAGCAAGAGACAGATGACACAGTGAGTAGATCCAGTGAATCATTTCATCTTTGTTTATCATTGGCGAACAATAAGGATGAATTTTCTATGTTATAATTACCGTAATTTCATACAACTATATGGTCCAAACACCCGCGCACGACAATCCCGATACGTAGATATCATACGTAGATATAATTGTAGAAATATTAATTAAATGTAAAACACTAAATTACCTGTCATGTAGACCAGTGAGAACACAGAATAGCTTGTCGTGATAACCGATGGTCGAGAAAGTTGGCAACTAACCTCGTTATCTGCAAACTTTCTCGACCATCGGTTATCACGACAAACTATTCTGTGTTCTCTACATGACAGGTAATTTAGTGTTTTTACATTTAACTAATATTTCTACAATTATATCTACGTATTATATCCACGTATCGGGATTATCGTGCGCGTGGGTGTTTGGACCATAGTTGTGGCGTAGGATCATATAGTTGTATGAAATTACGGTATATCAACTGTCTTTGTTGGAAAACGTCCAATATGAATAAATGTTTCTTCAAATACCGTGTATTAGAAGAGCACTTATATCATCATATATGTATATATTATTCTGTGATACATCTCTAAAAAATATAGAAAAAGATATTAAAAAAATATAAAAATTAATTTTTAATTTGATATAAAAATTCCTCGATAAATAAGTATTACGAGAATAACTACATTAGCGAAGAAAATTTTTTATATATATAGTTACATGAGACACTCTAGGAAAAATGATTGCATCACAGATCCTTGACATATCATGTTGAGTGTAATCACTAACAAAACGGGTATTTCATTAAACTCGTAATCTACAAAAACATTAAAAGTACACAGAAGTTATAAAACTTTCATAAATAATCAACTTAATATACTTTCATTATTGTGCTATCTGTTATTCTTACTTATCAGAAAAATTAAACTAAAAATACAAATAACGATATTTTTACAAATGCGATATTTTTGCAAATGCGAGAATAATATTACTGTAGGTACCTAATAAAAATACTGTTAATTTATTAGCGATTATCTGAGAGTACTCAGTTAAATAGTATAAAATAGTATTAATCACATCTATGTGTTTAAAAATAGATGAAAAAAACGGCATATTCTGATATATTGTCTCTTTCAGTATCTCCAATCTGTGCAGAAATAAGAACATTAAACTAACAAAGACGAAAGCAACTTTTATGTCTCTTAATATCATTCCATTTTAAAATTCTATCTTCATTTACCTCTTTGACATATCATGGCTAAATTCAAACTTATTTAGCCTTAGATCCGTACCAAATATTTCTAACTTCTTCAGTAGTTCCTAAAAATACGTAAATAAAGAAGTATTACATGTTACATACCAAAAATGGAGAGATTCTTTTAGCAATAATATTAAATCTCATAAATTATCAACAATGCATTATTATACTCTACGTTGTACATATCAATACTCACTTCTTCTTTTTTATCATCATAATCTAGATTAGTGTAATATTTATTTAAAACTTTCACTTGCTCCATTAATGCTAATCTATGGATTCTATAATGATATTTGTAAGAAGAAAGTAAAATTAGAATCGTTCGATATTTTTTTTATGAAACAACACAACTTTACAGGACAAAAAGAGCTTTGGAATTTCTAGAAAATATAATATTCAGACTTAAGAAGTAGGGAGCAAATCACATATTGTTTACAGTCATATGTGACATTCGCAGCATGAAAACATCCATGTCTAAACGAAATCTCAGTATATAATAAGGGACACTTTTCAGCAACAAACGTTACAACGTTCCTAAAATTCTGCTGAAATGTCCCAAAATATTTCTTGCTTACTGGGGAAATTCTTTCAATAAGGTTCCTCGAGAAATAATTTACCTGCTCCTTTTACCATTACGTTTTCTTCCTCGAATTTTTGCCATTCGTAACATAAAACATTCGTTAAGGAATAAATCTCAATTTTTTAAATCACATCTAAAAGTCATTACCGACCTTAACAAGAAATATTTCTCATATATTTTGTTATGTCATAATATACAATATTGTTTACTACCTATCACATTATCTCATATATAATATTTTTAGAAATTCGTTATGTTTTAAATATATGAGCATTTTTGAAAAAGTATATATTGTTAAATGCTCTAGATTTCATAAGTTTATTTCAGAAATTATAGAACGAGAAATTTCAGAATATTTTAGAGTTCACATATTATTTAAAGAATTTTAGAAAAGACATGATATAGTTTTCCTCAGTACACTTTCTCTGTTTTGATTAATATAAAAAAAGTCAGAAATTTTCTGAAATAAATTATAAAATTATACAAAAATTCTGAAAAATTCTGAAATTTAGATAAAAATTCTAAAAAATTATATAATAATCCAAAAAAAATTTCACGAGAGGAAAACAACATGAACATGTTCGAACGACGCGGTTCGAAATATGGAAATAATTAAAGATCGGGCGGTGTGTTTATTGGCTCCCGCACACAGAACGCGGCAACGCTTGCCGCGCGGCAGAAGTTATCGCATTAACCAATAATTTTAATGGCTTCTGCACACTGGACGCGGAAACGCTTGCCGCATGGCAAAATGTGCGGTAGCCAACAAGCTTACAGCTTTTAATGTGTTTATTAGTTACCGCGTCTCATTTTGCCGCGCCCAGTGTGCAGGAGCCATATGTTTTTAAATCGGCCTCACCATGCAAAACTTCTAGAAATGATGTAATATTACTTCTGCCGCGCGGCAAAAATTGTATTGATGGCTCTTGCACACTGCAACCAATCAGAAAACTGGATTCCGATAATACGAAGCAAAATCCATCGGAATCCTGTTTTCTGATTGGTTGCAGAGCGTTGTACGACGCTCATCGGATGCAGTGTGAAACCAGAGCCCCTATTCTGTAACTGTTTTACACGCCTAGCGACATTTGTCGGTATCGTTGCTCAGCTTTTTTACTATATAAAATATCTGCGCAACGACACCGACAACTGTCGGTAGGCGTGTAAAGACAGTTACAGAATAGGGCCCCAGCAATTGGTCAACACCTAGTTAATTGCTCACTTTTGTAATTTTCATCTTGTTTGAAGATACAGAATCGACCTCAAGGTGAAATACCCCCGTGGATGCGTAAGCCCGGATTTTCATACGGGCAACAGCGCTTTGACACCGAACGCTGATTGGTGAAAAACGGGTGATGGGGGTAAATTTTACCCCCACAACCGGTTTTTCACCAATTAGCGCTCTGTGTCAAAGCGCTGTTGCTCGTATGAGGATCCGGGCTAATAAGAGAGTGAAATTGGGTAACATTTGATTGGCTGTTCCAGCATAACCAGCACTATTATACGCAGGAAAGTGCATATTGGGGAACATTTGATTGGTTATTTCCAGTATTGCTATCGCCATTATGCTCAATAGGTTTTTGCAGGAAATCCTCAAATATTTTTGCACTTAAAATGAGATAGATACATATTTTGCCTTAAAAAGAGAGAAAGCGAAGATGTCGAATGCCAAAAGTGCAAGCAACGCGAACAGACCTATTGACACGTTTGGCGCATGCGCAGGAAATGCGCTCGTCAGATGTCATTTTTCGTGCGTTTCTATACTACAGTATTTTGTGAGCAGTTAGAGCAGAGTTCGGAGAGTTGATTAAAGTTGATCCACTGACGCTTGTCCTTGTACGTTTCTTTTATCGAATATTGTCGATTGCATCGCGAGTCAGTAGCTGCGGATCGTTTCGATTTCAGGTAAGTGATCGATGATTATCCGTTTCATCATCATATGCGAAAATTGTCGCTGTTGCGCAGATAGAAATTTTGCTTTCTGTCGACGCCATGAGTCCTTCCATTTTGCCAAGTTAATTCCTTGCTGTTGTACCTTGCGATCGATTATACTACATTAGGTTTGTAGCAAGCTTCGAATTGTTCGTTTACCTTGAACACGTGAAATAATACTTTAGGTTTGTCCTATATTAAATTTGGTAGATTAAAGTGTCAGAGAAGGATGTCGGAGATTATTGTCTTTTGGAAAGACGCCATTATGTGGATAGATGCTTTGTTTCTAGAGGTTGCGACCTGTAAATCGTTCGTTGCTACGAAACATGTCTTTGACCTAATTTCTTCGTTAATCTAACGTTTCGAAGTGTTTGTACCGTTAAGTTGATTGCAATTGGAATCTATGACTACAATATACCTTGTAAAGGCCTACTCAAATAAAATACATAAAACTGTGTAAAATAGAAAAAAAGTATACTTCTATTTGATGACATAAGTATTTTTCTATTTTTGTTGCTCATTAAATGCTGAGAAAGATGGAATGATATTTACGTTACTAAATAGAAACATCCAAGACAATTTCATTTGTGAGAATATTGTTGGAATCAAATGTGATATAAAATTACCATTCTTATTTTTTCTACACTGAATTAAATCTCTTTATTCTTAAACTTGTATTTTTGCAGTTAAAATTTTTAATGTATTCTTTCTATTTAGTGACACAAGTCAATCCAAATGTTTTTCTTGTCATTTCATAAATAACAAAAACAGAATGACACTTGTGTCAGCTTGTGTCAAAATCAAATAGAAAGCATCCAATAATTATTATATTGTGACAGAATTTTACTAATAATGATACAAAGATTATATTAAACTTACATTATTATAATATAATATTGTATGTGTTGTTGTTTACAGATTTATCATGCAAATCTTTGTAAAAACACTCACTGGAAAAACCATCACCCTTGAGGTGGAAGCTTCTGACACTATAGAGAATGTCAAAGCTAAGATCCAAGACAAAGAAGGTATTCCTCCAGATCAGCAACGTTTGATCTTTGCTGGGAAGCAACTAGAGGATGGCAGAACTCTTTCCGACTATAACATCCAGAAGGAATCTACGCTTCATCTTGTTCTGCGTCTTCGTGGAGGCATGCAGATCTTTGTAAAGACTCTTACGGGTAAAACCATCACCCTCGAAGTCGAAGCTTCGGACACCATCGAAAACGTGAAGGCTAAAATTCAAGACAAAGAGGGAATTCCTCCGGATCAGCAGCGTCTGATTTTTGCTGGTAAGCAACTTGAAGATGGTAGAACTCTCTCTGATTACAACATTCAAAAAGAATCCACACTTCATCTGGTCCTGCGTCTTCGAGGAGGAATGCAAATCTTTGTGAAAACTCTCACCGGTAAAACCATCACCCTTGAAGTTGAAGCCTCTGACACAATAGAAAACGTAAAAGCTAAGATCCAAGACAAAGAAGGCATTCCTCCTGATCAGCAACGTTTAATCTTCGCTGGTAAACAGTTGGAAGACGGTAGGACACTCTCAGACTATAACATCCAGAAAGAATCTACCCTTCATCTGGTTCTACGTCTTCGAGGAGGAATGCAAATCTTCGTGAAAACTCTGACCGGTAAAACCATTACCCTCGAAGTTGAAGCTTCAGACACCATCGAAAACGTGAAGGCCAAAATCCAGGACAAAGAAGGAATTCCACCAGATCAACAGCGTCTGATTTTCGCCGGCAAACAACTGGAAGATGGCAGAACTCTTTCCGACTACAACATCCAAAAAGAATCCACCCTTCATCTGGTTCTGCGTCTTCGAGGAGGAATGCAAATCTTCGTGAAAACTCTGACCGGTAAAACCATTACCCTCGAAGTCGAAGCTTCAGACACCATTGAAAACGTGAAGGCCAAAATACAGGACAAAGAAGGAATTCCACCGGATCAACAGCGTCTGATTTTCGCCGGCAAACAACTGGAAGATGGCAGAACTCTTTCCGACTACAACATCCAAAAAGAATCCACCCTTCATCTGGTTCTGCGTCTTCGAGGAGGAATGCAAATCTTCGTGAAAACTCTGACCGGTAAAACCATTACCCTCGAAGTCGAAGCTGAAAACGTGAAGGCCAAAATCCAGGACAAAGAAGGAATTCCACCGGATCAACAGCGTCTGATTTTCGCCGGCAAACAACTGGAAGATGGCAGAACTCTTTCCGACTACAACATCCAAAAAGAATCCACCCTTCATCTGGTTCTGCGTCTTCGAGGAGGAATGCAAATCTTCGTGAAAACTCTGACCGGTAAAACCATTACCCTCGAAGTCGAAGCTTCAGACACCATCGAAAACGTAAAGGCCAAAATCCAGGACAAAGAGGGAATTCCACCGGATCAACAGCGTTTGATTTTCGCCGGCAAACAACTGGAAGATGGCAGAACTCTTTCTGATTACAACATCCAAAAAGAATCCACACTCCACTTAGTTTTACGACTTCGCGGTGGTATGCTCTTGTGAGCTGGAATCTACAGAAAGGTCCGCTAGTCGCAAATTGAAAAAGAATAGCATCAGTAGTATTGCGGTAGCATTTATATATTTAACGTTTTTTTTTTAATTTCTGTTTCAAGTAGCTACATATACTTATAATATTACTTTGAAAAATGTTCATGTCGAAGTATAACAAGAATGTAAGAAAATGTAATCCAAATATATATGCAAATGAACGCATTCTTGTCTAATAAACATT